TGCATTGTGGTAAACTGTGGTCAATGACATGAGACAAAGTTTATGTGAACTGCTGTATGGAAAGTGAATTTGCTCTGTAAACCTTCACCCAAATCACAATTAAAAAAAAAAGAAGAAGAATATCTACATTCTTGACAACAGCAACTCAAAAGATTAGATAGGAACATTAGGGGGCAGTGAATTTAGGTTAATGGAGGGGGATCAACTCAGAAAAGGAGGGTGAGAATGGTTACACAACTCCAAGAATGGAATCATTGTCATTGAATGGTACCTGCAGAAACTAGTGAACTGGTGTATGTTTTGCCGTGTATATTGTCAACAACAAAATCAATAAAATTGTATAAAAAAGTAGACAGTAGGATAAACGGTGATTAGTCTTATAAAAAAATAATGACAAAAAATTTTTATGAATATTCTTTAAAGCCCTTCTGCTACATATTCCAACAATGATGGTTGTGTCTTGAGGAAAGCACTTTTGTGATGTGACTTGTATCCCATTCTCAGTATGCAGAACACAAAGGTATAATTTTAAAAATAATGAAACAAATGATCATGTACCCATTACCCTACTTAGATCATTTCCAATAACCTTGAAGCCCCCCACATGTGTCTGGCCCTAGTTACATACCACCTTCTCCCCAAACAAGAACTAACCAGTATTCCAGAATCTTGCTTTTTATTTTTTAATTTTACTGCTTGTTTTTTCCTTCACTTTAAATTGGAAATTTCAAGCATACAGCAAAGTTAAAAGAATTTTATAAGGAACACTTGTATACCCACCATCTAGATCCTACCTTCACATTTCACTTTACTTGTTTTATCATTTATCTACCCATCCTTCTATCTGTCCATCAATCCATTATTTTTCGCTCAGCCTCATATGTCACTAGGGAATTGCAAATTCAAGCAGCGGTGAGGTACCACTACACACTTATTTAAAAAAAAGAACAAACTCACCGCCGTCAAGTCAGATTCGACTCATAGTGACCCCTTCTTGGGTTTCTGAGGCAGTATCACTACGGAAGTAGATTGCCCCATCTTCCTTCCGAGGAGTAGCTTGTGGGTTTGAACCACCAGCCTTCTGGTTAGCAGTCAACAAATGTGGTGCACCCATACCATGAGATATTATTCAGCAACAAGAAGAAATGAGCTATCAAGCCACAAAATGATGCAGAGGAAGCTTGAACACATATTATGAAGTGAACAAAGCCAGTCTGAAGAGGCTATGTACTGTATGATTCCAACTACATGATATGCAGAAAAAGGCAAAATATAGAAACAATAAAAAATCAGTGGTTGCCAAGGGCTCAGAATGGGAGTGGAGTGGGGGAAGGATGACTAGGAGGAGCACAGGGCAGTTTTTGGGCAGTGGAATGATGCTGCCTGATACCACAATGGTGGATGTGTAACATTACACATTTGTCCAAACCCACAGAACTGTTCAATAGGGAGTGAACCCTGTGTTTACATCAGGATGTAAACTAAGGAATGTCAGTTCATAAGAATGTATCAATATCGGCTCATCAAGTGTAATGAATGTGCCACACCAATGCAATACTTCAATAATAGAGGAACCGTAGGAGGGGGAGAGAGAGTATTGGGGAATTCTCTCTACTTTCTGCTCAATTTCTCTGTAAACCTAAAACTGCCCTAAAAAGTAGTCTATTGACTAAACATAGAAAGAAAGAGAGAGAAGGAGGGAAGAAAGAAGGGAGGGAGGGAGGAAAGGAAGGCAAGGAGGAAGGAAGAATTCCTTTTGTTGCTCAGGTTGCTAAACCAGGAGGTGTGAGGATGAGGCTGCTGGTTGCCATCCATCCCGCTGCGGGGAGAGCCTAGCTGAACTTGAAGCCAATACACTGAGATGGGCAGAACTAAGAGGTGGAGAAACAAAGCCTTAATGGTATCCTTTAGTCTCCTGGATCTAGCCATTCCTAAGGTCCTGACCTGTTATGTGAGCTAATACATTCTACTTTTACATAAGCCAGTTTTATCTGGATTTCTTTCACTTGCATCTAAAAGTCTTCTAACTACCAAAAGACTTCAGCTGCAAAAATGCTAGGTGCCACCTCCGTGTCTGCAGCCCTCCACCCTCAACAACCAGTCCCACTCACTTGGTGATCTCCTCTAAGGCTGCCTCGGGTAAGGCCAGCATCTCCACCATCAGGGACAGGATCTCAAAGAGCAGAGTGTGCGGGTTCGGAGGACTCAAGCCTGTCAGGGCGTTCTGTTCTGGGGACACGGATGGTGGCTGCTATTACCATTTGGCAGCCTTGGATACCCATCCCCCACCAGCTGCCTGGTCCCTCCCCCAGCTCTGATTGTCCTGATCTCCCCTGCTCACCCACAGAGCAGAAGAAGCGCTTGGTGTCTGTCATCACGGCCAAGAAGTCTTTGAAGTCCACGTGACCATCTCCTGTGGAGGCCAGAGAGTAACAGGATGGACAAGAGCCTTCTGGACCAGGCCCAGGCATTTGAACTCAAGCATGGCTACTACTATTTACTTATTGGGTCTGATTGTAAGAGTAATACAGAAAACATGGTGCACACAGGAAAGCAGAAAGCAAAAATTCAAATCACCTGGGTTAAAAGCTACTAGAACTTGGGTGCTAGAGGCAACTGACCTAGGTTCATATCCCTGCTCTATCACTTATTAGCTGGCTGTGTGACCTTGGGAAAGTCTCTTAACCTCTCTGAACTTTAGTTTTCTCATCTACAGGGTGAGCATAATAATAACACCTATCTCATGGGAGATAAAAAGAGGCAGAGTGCTAAGATCAGGGACTTGCATATAATAGTGGTCACTAAATGTCAGTGGCCATAACTACTGTGTGAGAAGACATACTAAGATTCCCCCCATGGCCTTCAAGGCCTTGCGGGATCTGCCTATTAGCTATGTTTCTAGCCTCACCCTGTGCCAAGCTCCCTAACACTAACCTGCTTTCCCAGTGGAACCCAATTATTTCCTGCTGCAGGGCCTTTGCACATACTACTTTCTTTTTCTACAATTCTCTCCACTGCCCTCCAGCTCCTTCACTTAGTAAACATCCTATTCAAGTTTCCCAGGCAGCCTGACCTCATCACTTCCCCAGGAGAGTAGACAAAACCAGGCCAGAGCCCCTGCCAAGTACTCTCATGAGACCCCCATGGTCCCATCACCAGGAGCAGGGTCTGCTTTGTTCTGCATTGTGTCTTCAGGGCTGGAAACAGGTAAACCAGATGCTATGGACTTGACTCCGACTCATGGTGACCCCACGTGTGTCAGAGTAGAACTGTGCTTCGTGGGGTTTCCAGTGGCTGATTTTTCAAAAAGAGGAAGAGCACTAGGTCTTTTTTTCAATGTGCCTCAGGGTGGATGCAAACTTCCAACCTTTTGGCTAGCCCGGAGCCTGTGCACCACCAAGGGATTCCATAGACAGGTAGGTATTTAGCAAATACTCTCTGTATGACTTGGCCAATGAATGAACGGTCTCTCATCCTGAAAACAACCCTGTGGGGTGTTTAATATGTTCATCCCAAATCACAGATGTGCCCTGAGGCACACTTGCCCAGGACCACACAGGAGCAGAGTTGGGCTCAGTTCCTGGCTTGTGTGTGAAGAATGGCACACGTGCAGTGATAGAAGGAACAGAGCATTGACATCTAGTGGCCAGGAACCCAGACCCACATGGGTCCACTGCTGCCCCTGCCCTACCATTTGCCCTGCATTCTTCTCTTTGCTCAGGGTCTTCCCACTAGCCAGAAACTCCTTCTCCCTTCTTTTCTCCCTACCTAACTCTTGCTTAATCTTTCACAGCTCAGCTCAGGCATTATCTCCTCCAGGAAGCCTTCCTTGCTGATCCCCTCCTTTACACCATGTTAAATGCTGCTTCCATGAGAGTCTCTTATTTCTGCTTTGGCCTTGGCCCTGTGGTAGTAACTACCTACATGGCAACTGCATGTCTCTCTATCCTCCATGCCCAGCATAGGAAAAAGTACACAAAAGACATTTAATAAATTATTATGGGATGAATAATAGTACCAGTCAAAAAACAGTTGTCATCGAGTCAGTCTTGACTCATGGCAACCCATGTGTGTCAAAGTAGAACTGTGCTCCATAGGGTTTTCAGTGGCTGACTTTTCCACAGTGGATCATTAGGCCTACCTTCTGAGATCCCTCTGGGTGAACTTGAACCACCAACCTTTCAGTTAACAGCCAAGCACATTAACCAATTGTACCACCCAGGGACCATATGAGTAATATTAGCAGCTTGCATTGCCGGATCATGTAGAAGGCACAATACTCAATGCTGTGCCTGGATTATCTCATTTCATCTTCACAGCAGCCCAGTGAGATGGGTACTGCTTTCAGCTCCATTTTGCAGGTGAAGAAACACAAGGCTTACTGAACTTCAGTGATTTGTCCAAGGTCACCCCACTGATAAAATGAGTGACCAAGGCGTGGAGGAGTGGCTGAGGGCCTGAAAAGAAGGAATCTCTGGGATCACCACACTCTGGGAGCAGGAGCCAGTCTTGGTCCCCAGAACCCAGCACTGAGTAGGTGCTCAGCAAGTATTAACCCATAGGGTTAGCACCAGCTGCATCATTTATAGGATGCAGCACAAAATGAAAATGCAGGGTAGGACTCCTTGTTCAAAGATTAAGAATTTCAGGATGGGACACAGCAAAGCATTAAGGCAAGCACCTTAACCATAACCAGTTGCTGTTGAGTCAATTCCAACTCATGGTAACTCCATGGGTTTCAGAGTAGAACTATGCCCATAGTTTTTTCATGGCTGTGACCTTTTGAAAGCAGATCATGGGTGTATCTTTCAAGGCACTTCTGGTGAGTTCAAACTGCCAACGTTTTGGTTAGCAGCCAAGCACTTAACTGTTTGCACCACATAGGGAGGCCAAACCAAGCAACAGTCTTTCTAAGCCCCAGGAGACTGCACAGGTCTCACACCAGTGAAAGCAGTCCTGCTTGAGGCTCAGAGTGAAGCAACCCCCTCACCGTTGATATCAGCACTTATCAGGGCATCATCCACCTGGGCTGGGGTCAGCGAGATGCCCACTAGGAGTAGGGTGCTCTTCAGACTCCGCGCATCCACCTCTCCAGGGCCATTGAAGATCTCAAAGTAGCTGCGGAAGGCTGTGGAGAAGGCAGGTCACATGGAGTGCGGTATATTTAGTTTCCTCCACTCATCACATCCCCTCCAACCACTCTCCCAACTGCCCAGAATCCTCTGCCACTATGGCCAGGTTTGGGGGGGGGGGCTGCTGCTATTGTTGTTACATGTGGTTGAGTCTGTATTCACTCAGAGCAACTCACATGACAGAATAGAACTGCCACATAGGGTTTTCTTGGCAATAATCTTTATAGGAAAAAAAAAAAAAAAAAAAGAAAGAGCAAAATGGCTATCAGGAGAGACTTTGAAACTTGCTCTTGAATAGAGAGTAGCTTAAAGTAAATGGAAGAAATTACGAAGTAAAAGAGCTGAACAGAAGATTTCAAAGGGCAGCTTGAGAAGACAAAGTAAAGTATTATAACAAAATATGCAAAGACCTAGAGTTAGAAAACCAAAACGGAAGCATATGTTCAGCATTTCTCAAGCTGAAAGAACTGAAGAAAAAATTCAAGCCTTGAGTTGCAATATTGAAAGGCAAAATATTGAATGAGGCAGGAAGCATTGAAAGAAGATGGAAGGAATACACAGAGTCACTGTAGCAAAAAGAATTGGTCAATATCCAACTATTTCAGGAGGTAACATATGATAAGAACCAAAGGTACTGAAGGAAGAAGTCAAAGTTGCACTGAAGGAACTGGTGAAAGCCAAGGCTCCAGGAAGTGATGGAATACCCAGTGAGATGTTTCAACAAATGGATGCAACACTGGAGGTGCTCACTCATTTATGCCAAGAAATTTGGAAGACAGCTACCTGGCCAATTGACTGGAAGAGATCAATATTTGTGCCCATTCCAAAGACAACTGATCCAACAGAATATAGAATTTATCGAATAACATCATTAATATCATACACAAGTAAAATTTTACTGAAGATAATTAAAAAACTTCCAGAAATTCAAGCTGGATTCAGAAGAGAATGTAGACTGAAGGATATCATAGCTGATGTCAGATAGATCTTGGCTGAAAGCAAAGAATACCAGAAAGATTTTTACCTGTATTTTATTGACTACACAAAGGCATTTGACTACATGGACCATAAGAAATTATGGATAACTTTATGAAAAATGGGAATTCCAAAACACTTAATTATTCTCATGAGGAACTTGCACATAGACTAAGGGGCTGCCATTCTAACAGAACAAGGAGATACTGCATGGTTTTAAATCAGGAAGGGTGTACATCAGGATTGTATCTTTTCACCATACTTATTCAGTCTACATGCTGAGTAAATAATGCAAGAAGCTGGACTATATGAAGAAGAACATGGCATCTGGATTGGAGGAAGACTCATTAACAACCTGTAATTTACAGATGCCACAACCTTGCTTGCTGAAAGTGGAGATGACTTGAAGCACTTACTGAGAAAGATCAAAGACTACAGTCTTCAGTATGGATTACACCTCAACATAAAGAAAATGAAAATCCAAGTGGGAGGGGGGCTGTTGCATTGAGGTAAATTGCAGTCAATGTCATGAGACAACGTGTGTGTGAACTGCTGTATGGAAAGTGAACTTGCTCTGTAAACTTTCACCCAATCACAATAAAAAGAAAGAAAAGAAAAGAAAATCCTCACAACTGGACTAATAAGCAACATCACAATAAATGGAGAAAAGACTGAAGTTGTCAGGAATTTCATTTTACTTGGATCCACAATCAACATCCATGGAAGCAGCAGTCAAGAAATCAGACGTTGCATTGCACTGGGCAAATGTGCTGCAAAAGACCTTTTTAAAGTGTTATGAAGCAAAGATGTCACTTTGAAGACTGACCCTGACCTATGCCTGACCCAAGCCATGGTATTTTCAATCACCTCCTATTCATGTGAAAGCTGGACAATGAATAAGGAAGACAGAAGAAGAGTGGATGTCTTTGAATTGTGGTGTTAGCAGAGAATACTGAAAATACCCTGAATCACCAGAAGAATGAACAAATCTGTCCTAGAAGAAGTGCAGCCAGAATGCTCCTTGGATGTGAGAATGGCCAGACTTTATCTCACCTATTTTAGTCATGCTGTTGGGACCATTCCCTGGAGAAGGATATCATGCTTGGTAAAGTGGAGGATCAGCAAAAAAGGGGAAGACCCTCAACAAGATGGATTGACACAGTGGCTGCATCAATGTCTCAAGTATAGCAAGAATTTGAGGATGGCACAAGATTGGACAGTGTTTTGTTCTGTGGTACATAGGGTTGCTATGAGTCAAAGCCAACTCAACGACACCTAACAACAACGGTCTTTGTAACTCCCACCAAATGACTGAGTGGGACTATACAAATGTGAGATGCTTGTGGCCCACCAAGGGATCAGATAGCTTGCTAATAATGTAAATAAGATGCATAGCAGGCTTGTGGGGGTGGGACCATGAAAATAAGGTGTAGGGAACCTTAATGTGGGGATTGGTCACTTTTGTCATCTGCTAGTTTTAAAATGCTCTGGTAGCATAGTGGCTAAGGCACTTGACTGCTAACCAGAAGGCTGGCGGTTCAAACCCACCAGCCACTCCTCGGAAGGAAGGTTGGGCAATCCTACTTCCGTAGTGATACTGCCTCGGAAACCCAAGGAGGGGTCGCTATGAGTCAGGGCTGACTGGACGGCACATAACAACAACAACAACAGTTTTAAAATGAGCCATCCCAGAGGTGGAAGGAGGGGACCTGATTACCACCAAGAAGAAAAGGTGGGAGTGGAGTGTGTTCTTTGGACCCAGGGTCCCTGTGCTGGGAGTCTCCTTGACCCAGGAGACAGAGAGAGCTGTAACACTGGAGAGACCATGAGAGAAGGCAGAGTGGTGGCAGAGAAGCAGTGGCAGCAGAACGAGGAGACTGGCAGGAGAATGCACAGTGGGTTTCCAGACCACAGAGTGAGTAAAGCTAATGCTTGCTGGTAGAGTGGGGTACCTCTGGACACTTATCCACAGAGCTAAAAGAGCTTTGTAACACTTGCCTGAGAAGGACAGAGGCTAAGGGACCTCAGAGCTGAGAGGTTGAGGGCTAGAGAGAGGCATGCCTATGGACACTGCTGAGAAAAGGCTGTCTTGATAGAAAAACTGTATCCTGAGTCTTTTCTTAATTATGACTTGTCACTTCCCTAATAAACCTCATAATTATGAGTATTGTCTATGAGCTCTGTATGGCAATTGCAATGAGTTACCTAACTCAGTAGAGAAGTAGAGAGTGCCATGGGAGAGACGGTTGGTATCAGAATTAGAAAAAGTTGGAGGGTGGCAGCATGCCTGCCTTCCACCTCATAGGAATCAGCCTTGGGCTGCTGATGCAGGTAATGATTCTCTCTCCCCTTTGTGAACTTAGAATAGGTCAGACTCCTCCTCCACACCATTCTTACAGATGTTTGCTTGTGTTTTATTGACTATGTTTTATTTGACTGTGTGGATCACAACAAATTATGGATAATATTGTGAAGAATGGGGATTCCAGAACACTTCATTGTGCTTATGTAGAATCTGTTCATAGCCCAAGAAGCAGTTGTTGGAACGAAACAAGGAGACACTGCATGGTTTAAAGTCAGGAAAAGTGTGCATCAGGGTTATATCTTTTCACCACTCAATTATTTATTATTTATTCAATCTGTATGCTGAGCAAATATTCCAAGATGCTGGACTATATGAAGAACAACATGACATCAGGATTGGAGAAAGATTCACTAACAAGCAGCAATATGCAGATGATACAACCTTGCCTGCTGAAAGTGAAGAGGATTTGAAGTACTTACTGAAGAAGACTGAAGACTGCACCCTTCAATATGGATTACACCTCAACATAAAGAAAGCAAAAATCTTCACAACCAGACCAATAAGCAACATCATGATAAACGGAGAAAAGATTGAAGTTGTCAAGGATTTCATTTTACTTGGATTCACAATCAAAGCCCATGGAGTAGCAGTCAAAAAATAAAATGATGTAGTGCATTGGGCAAATCTGGTGCAAAAGACCTCTCTAGAGTGTTGAAAAGCAAAGATGTCATTTTGAGGACTAAGGTGCACCTGACCCAAACCATGGTATTTTCCATTGCCTCATATACATGCAAAAGCTGGACAATGAAGAAGGAAGAACAAAGAAGAATTGATGCCTTTGAATTATGGTGTTTGCAAAGAATATTGACTATACCATGACTGCCAGAAGAATGAACAAAGCTGTCTTGGAAGAATGCTCCTTAGAGTGAGGATGGTGAGAGTACTGTCACGTACTTTGAGTATGTTATCAGGAGGGACCAATCCCTGAAGAAGGACACCATGCTTGGTAAAGCAGAGGGTTCATCAAAAGAGATGAAGACCCTCAACAAGATGGATTGACACAATGACTGCAACAATGGGCTCAAACACAGCAATGATTTTGAAGATGGCACAGGACAGTGCTTTGTTCTGTTGCAGAGAGGGTCACTATGAGTTGGAGCCAACTGGACGGCGCCTAACAACAAATTTTTATGAGAGCCAATTGCCAGGCCTGTCTTCTGTGGATTCATTGAATGGTTTGAACCATCAACCTTTAGGTTAATGGTTGAGTGCTTAACTGTTGTGCCTCCAGGGATCCTTCAAATAGATGGACAAAGGACACCAAAAGAATGAGTGGAGGTGGTGGTTCCCTTGACTCACCTTACTTGCTCTACTCTGGCCAGAACAAGGATTCAGCTGTGTGGCAAAAAGCTAACAAGTGATCTTCGTTTAGCAACAAGTACACACCACTTTAGGCACCCTACCATGTGCCAGTCACTGTGCTAGGCTCTTTGTAGCCATGTTCTCATTTAATACTTACATTAACCTTACAGAGTAGAATGCTTATCTCCTTTGCAAAGATGGAGAATCTATGATCACTAACTTTATATGGAAAGGAAAGAGACCT